GCGCACGCGCTGATCCCAGAGTTGTAGCTGATGGCATCTGGCTCCAACCTCACTTCCCCAATCTCGCAGAGCAGCGATAGAGCCCGCTGCCACTGCTCGTCTTTCGTGCATGCGCTGATCCCAGAGCTGTAGCTGATGACGCTTGGCTCCACCTTCGCCTCCCGCATCTCGCTGAGCAGCGGAAGAGCCTGCTGCCACTGCTCGCCGTTCGCACACGCTCTGATCCCAGGGCTGATCCCAGAGTTGTAGCTGATGGCATCTGGCTCCGACCTCACTTCCCACATCTCGCAGAACAGCGATAGAGCCCGCTGCCACTGCTCGCCTTTCGTGCACGCGCTGATCCCAGAGCTGTAGCTGATGACATTCGGCTCCGATCTCTCTTTCCGCATCCCGCTGAGCAGTGATAGAGCCCGCTGCCGCTGCTCGTCTTTCGCGCACGCGCTGATCCCAGAGCTATAGCTGATGGCATCTGGCTCCACCTTCGCCTCCCCCATCTCGCTGGGCAGTGAGAGAACCCGCTGCCACTGCTCGCCTCTTGCGCATGCGCTGATCCCAGAACTGTAGCTGATGACGCTTGGCTCCACCTTCGCCTCCCACATCTCGCTGAGCAGTGGGAGAGCCTGCTGCCACTGCTCGCCGTTCGCGCACGCGCTGATCCCGGAGTTGTAGCTGATGGCATCTGGCTCTAACCTCACTTCCCAAATCTCGCAGAGCAGCGATAGAGCCCGCTGCCACTGCTCGCCTTTCGTGCACGCGCTGATCCCAGAGCTGTAGCTGATGACGCGTGGCTCCACTTTCGCCTCCCAAATCTCGCAGAGCAAGGATTGAGCCCGCTGCCACTGCTCGCCGTTCGTACACGCGCTGATCCCCGGGCTGATCTGAGAGTTGTAGCTGATGGCATCTGGCTCCAGCCTCACTTCCCACATCTCGCAGAGCAGCGATAGAGCCCGCTGCCACTGCTCGCCTTTCGCGCACGCGCTGATCCCAGAGCTGTAGCTGATGACGCTTGGCTCCACCTTCGCGTCCCACATCTCGCTGAGCAGCGGGAGAGCCTGCTGCCACTGCTCGACGTTCGCATACGCGCTGATCCCAGGGCTGTATCTGATGCCATTCGGCTCCAACCTCACTTCCCGCATCCCGCTGAGCAGTGGTAGAGCCCGCTGCCGCTGCTCGCCTCTCGCGCGCGCGCTGATCCCAGAGCTGTAGCTGATGACTCTTGGCTCCGCCATCACCTCCCGTCTTCCTCCTCCCCCTCCACGTCCTGACTCCCTGGCTCGCTGCCACTGCCTGCTGACGTCGAGCGCGGTGATCTTCGCCTCCTCCTCCTCCTCGACCTGGTCCTGCTCGTCCGCTGCCTTCTCCTCCTCTTCTATTTCCTCCTCTGCCGCCTCGCTCTCCTCCCTGGCTCGCTGCCACTGCCGCTGCCCATTTTTCGCACGTGCGCTGGCCCCAGCGATGCAACTGATGACGTTGGGCCCCAGTTTGGGAATCAGCAGCGCCACAGCCTGCTGCCACTGCTGCCTTGTCTCGCAGGCGCGGGTGGGTCTGGACTCCAGGCGGGGGTGGGGCGGGCGGGGGACGGAGGACGAGGGGGCGAGGGGCACGAGCCGGGCCCGAACGGCGAGGGGCGAACGACGCGGTGGCAGGGGGCGAACGAGACGGGACCGAGACGAGGGGACAGAGGCCGAGGGAAAGGCGAGGGGAAGGGGCGGTGGGCGTCGTCGGTGCGCGCCGTCGTGCAGGTGCGCGTCGTTACTGCTGGTCGTTGCAGGTGGTGCCCGTCGTTGCTGGGGGTCGTGTTGCCGGTCGGAATTGGTGCTGGTCGCAGTCGTGGTGGTGCTGCTGCTGGTCGTGGTCGTGTTGTTGGTGCTGCTGCTGGTTGCGGTCGTGGTAGTGCTGCTGCTGGTCGCAGTCGTGGTGCTGCTGGTCGTAGTCGTGGTGGCGTTGGTGGTCGCAGTCGTGGTGGTGCTGGTCTTGGTGGTGGTGCTGCTGCTGCTGGTCGCAGTCGTGGTGGTGCTGCTGCTGGTCGCAGTCGTGGTGTTGCTGGTCGCGGTTTTGGTGCTGCTGGTCGCAGTCGTGGTGGTGCTGCGGGTTGCAGTCGTGGTGGTGGTGCTGGTAGTGGTTCTGCGGCTGGTCGCAGTCGTGGCGCTGCAGGTCGCAGTCGTGGGGCTGCTGGTCGCAGTCGTGTTGGTGCTGCTGGTCGCGGTTGTGCTGGTGCTGCTTGTCGTGGTGGTGCTAGTAGTAGTAGTGGTGGTGCTGGTTGTGCTGGTGGTGCTGGTGCTGCTGTTGGCCGTGGTGGTGGAGCTGCTGGTGGCAGTCGTGGTCGTGCTGCTGCTGGTCGTGGTCGTGGTGTTGCTGGTGGCAGTCGTAGTGCTGCTGGTAGTAGTCGTGGTGATGCTGCTGGTCGCGGTCGAGGTGGTGCTGCTGCTGGTCGTGGTGGCCCTGCTGCTGGTCGCGGTCGTGGTGGTGCTGGTTGTAGTCGTGGTGGTGCTGCTGGTCGCAGTCGTGGTATTGCTGGTTGTGCTGGTGGTGCTCGTCGTGGTGGTGCTGCTGGTCGCTGTCTCGGTGCTGCTGCTCCCGGTTGCGGTCGTGGCGCTGCTGGTCGCAGTCGTGGTGCTGCTGGTCGTGGTCGTGGTGGTGCTGCGGGTCGCGGTCGTAGTGGTGGTACTGCTGGTCGTTGTCGTGGTGGTGCTGCTGCTGGTCGCAGTCGTGGTGCTGCTGGTCGCAGTCGTGGCGCTGTTGGTCACAGTCGTGGGGCTGCTGGTCGCCGTCGTGTTGGTGCTGGTGGTGCTGCTGGTCGTGGTGGTGCTGCTGGTCTCTGTGGTGCTGCTGCTGGTCGCAGTCGTGGTGGTGCTGGTCGTAGTGGCGGTGGTGCTGCTGGTCGCAGTCGTGGTAGTGGTAGTGCTGGTTGTGCTGGTGGTGCTGGTCGTGGCGGTGCTGCTGGTCGCAGTCTCGGTACTGCTGCTCCCGCTTGCACTCGTGGTGCTGCTGGTCGCTGTCGTGGTGCTGCTGGTCGTGGTCGTGGTCGTGGTGGTGCTGCGGGTCGTAGTCGTGGTGGTGGTGCTGCTTGTCGCAGTCGTGGTGGTGGTGCTGCTTGTCGCAGTCGTGGTGCTGCTGGTCGCAGTCGTGGCGCTGTTGGTCGCGGTCGTGGGGCTGCTGGTCGCCGTCGTGGTGGTGCTGGTGGTGCTGCTGGTCGTTGTGGCGCTGCTGCTGGTTGCAGTCGTAGTGGTGCTGGTCGTAGTCGTGGTGGTGCTGCTGGTCGCAGTCGTGGTGGTGCTGCTTGTGCTAGTGGTGCTGGTGGTGCTGCTGATCGTGGTGGTGGTGGTGCTGCTGGTCGTAGTCATGGTGATGCTGCTGGTCGCAGGCGTCGTGCTGCTGGTCGCAGCCGTGGTGCTCCTGGTCGTGGTCGTGGTGGTGCTGCGGGTCGCTGTCGTGGTGGTGGTGCTGCTGGTCGCAGTCGTGGCGCTGCGGGTCGCGGTCGTGGGGCTGCTGGTCGCCGTCGTGGTGGTGCTGGTGGTGCTACTGGTCGTGGTGGTGCTGCTGCTGGTTGCAGTCGTGGTGGTGCTGGTCGTAGTCGTTGTGGTGCTGCTGCTGGTCGCAGTCGTGGTGGTGCTGCTTGTGCTGGTGGTGCTGGTGGTGCTGCTGGTCGTGGTGGTCGTGGTGCTGCTGGTCGTGGTCGTGGTCGTGGTGGTGCTGCGGGTCGCTGTCGTGGTGGTGGTGCTGCTGGTCGCAGTCGTGGTGGTGCTGCTTCTGGTCGCAGTCGTGGTGCTGCTGGTCGCAGTCGTGGTGCTGCTGGTCGCAGTCGTGGGGCTGCTGGTCGCCGTCGTAGTGGTGCTGGTGGTGCTGCTGGTCGTGGTGGTGGTGCTGCTGGTCGTTGTGGTGCTGCTGCTGGTTGCAGTCGTGGCGGTGCTGGTCGTAGTCGTGGTTGTGCTGCTGGTCGCAGTCGTGGTGGTGCTGCTTGTGCTGGTGGTGCTGGTGGTGCTGCTGGTCGTGGTGGTGGTGGTGCTGCTGCTACTGGTCGTTGTCGTGGTGGTGCTGCTGCTTGTCGCAGTCGTCGTGCTGCTGGTAGCAGTCGTGGTGCTCCTGGTCGTGGTCGTGGTGGTGCTGCGGGTCGCTGTCGTGGTGGTGGTGCTGGTCGCAATCGTGGTGGTGCTGCTTGTGCTGGTGGTGCTGGTGGTGCTGCTGGTCGTTGTCGTGGCGGTGCTGGTCGTAGTGGTGGTGGTGCTGCTGGTCGCAGTCGTGGTAGTGCTGGCTGTGCTGGTGGTGCGGGTCGTGGTGGTGCTGCTGGTCGCTGTCTCGGTGCTGCTGCTCCCGGTTGCAGTCGTGGTGTTGCTGTTCGCTGTCGTGGTGCTGCTGGTCGTGGTCGTGGTCGTGGTGGTGCTGCGGGTCGCTGTCGTAGTGGTGGTGCTGCTGGTCGCAGTCGTGGTGGTGCTGCTGCTGGTCGCAGTCGTGGTGCTGCTGGTCGCGGTCGTGGCGCTGCTGGTCGCAGTCGTGGGGCTGCTGGTCGCCGTCGTAGTGGTGCTGGTGGTGCTGCTGGTCGTGGTGGTGGTGCTGCTGGTCGTGGTGGTGCTGCTGCGGCTGGTTGCAGTCGTGGCGTCCAGGTCTAGGTTTCCCCCCCCCCCCCCCCGTGGGGGTGGTACTGCTGGTCGCAGTCGTGGTGGTGCTGGTGGTGGTGGTGGTGGTGGTGCTGCTGGTCGTAGTCGTGGTGGTGCTGCTGCTGCTGCTGCTGCTGCTGCTGCTGCTGGTCGGAGTCGTGGTGCTGCTGGTCGCAGTCGTGGTGCTCCTGGTCGTGGTCGTGGTGGTGCTGCGGGTCGCTCTCGTGGTGGTGGTGTTGGTGGTGGTTCGGCTGCGGGTCGCAGTCGAGGCGATGGTGCTGCTGGTCGCCGTGGTGGTGGTGGTGGTACTGCTGGTCTCCTCGTGGTGCCCGCTGCCGTGTCGGGGGTGCTCCCGGCGCTCGTCGGAGCCCCCCGGGGCGCCCGTGCTGGCCGCGGTGCCAAGCATCAGGGCCGTGTTGGCAGGCGGCTAGCGGGTGGACCGGCGGAGTCTGCGAGCAGCACTTCGGCCAGGTCTGGGTCGTCCTCCCCAGCGGCGCCCCCCAAGGCTAGGTAGCCGTCGCCCGTCAGGGTGGCCATGAGCGCGTCCTGGGCCGCGACGCTCATGCACCCCCACCAGCGGTTGGTGTACGCGAGCTCCGCGGAGCGTCGGAGGAGGGCCAGCGCAGCTCGCGCCTTCTGCTTGGCAAGCCGGCGCACCAGCTGGAGGGAGACGCGGCCCCACCTGCCTCCGACCTCGCAGGAAAGGACCATGAGGCGGCCTGAATGGCCGGCCGCGGGTTCGTGGTACCTGCGTCGTCTGCGCCTTTCGGCCACAAGTAGCGCGGCGCCGTCGGTGTCGAAGGCGCGCGGCCGGTGCCAGCCGTCCCTGCGGAGGGGGGACACCCTGGTGCTGTCGCAGCACAGCGGGGCGCCGTTCGGCGAGATGCCGTCGACGACTAGGTTTAATTGTCTGCGGTCCAGCGGGTTGTGGACAACGGCGTTAGTGTCCCGCAGCAGCTGTTGGGGGACAACTCTCCCTCCTGCTTCTCTGGCGACCCTCGCCCAAGCACGTTCGAGCGGTTTCGCGCGTCTGGCGAGAAGCCCCGTGCGTGGGCACGCGGCTAGGTGGTCTCCCAGCGTGTCCAGCCGGGCCCGGCAGCCTGGGTGGCCGGCTGCCCCGCGCGTGCGCGGGAGGAGCGGCAGCGGGAGCCTGAGGCGCCGGCGCAGGGCTGCCAGGAACCGCGCGGGCTTGAACACGTGCCCCTCGGTGGTGGGTAAGGTGTGAAGCCAGTAGGCGGCCCTCGGTCCTGAGCCTGACCTTAGCATGGCCTGGTTGGCCCTGGTGAGGCTGGGCATGAACACGTTGTCCCTGTCGTGTGTGTTGCGTGCGGAACAAGCGTGGAACTGCCAGCCGTGCTGCCATTCCCCCGGTTCGGCGGCCTCCGAGCGCGGCGGCGCTTCTGGGCGCAGCCCCTGGAGCAGGTCGGTCCAGGAAGGACTCCGGAAGCCTTCGGTTTCTAGCAGCTGTGCGGCCGCGGCGGCTGCGGCAAGGTTGCCCCTACGGCCGGGCCTGGTGCCGTCGAGGAGGTCTCTGATCGCTGCGGCTTCAACGGGGCGCCGTTGGTGGAGCATGTGTAGGGCGTCTGCCCAAGCGCCCCAGTAGGCCGCTGGGGACGTGCGCGCGGCGCTTTGGAGCGCGAGTCCTCCGTGTCGTCCAGGCATTGCTGCCAGTGCGCGCGCCCGTCGCTCTTCGTCTTGCGACATTGCGGGGTCCCCGAGGAGGCGGCGCAGGGTGGCCCACATGTCGCCGTCGTGGCCTCTCGCGTTTTCTGCGATTTCCTCTGGCGGCAGGGTTCGCAGCAGGTGGTTGGCCCGCGGGGAGGCGCAAAGGAGGAGGAGGAGCCAAGCGCACTGTAGGTCGGGCAGGTGCGCCAGTTCGTCCAGGAGTCTCCTCTCTTCCTGTAGTCTGCTCTCCAGGTGTGCGGCGACGAATTCTGGGGTGCCTAGGGGGGTGCCAAGGATCTTGATTCCTCGGTCGGGTGGTGCTCTGTCACCCCTCCAGACGTCTTGTCCCAGCTCGCCAATTCCGGGCGGCGCTGCGCCTCCGCCCCTGCTGTAGGCCCGGCACTTGCCAAGGTGGCAATCCACGTTTGCGTGGAGGTGAATTGCTCCGGTGGTGGTGTCGAAAGCGGCTCTGGCCCTGGCCCGGGTGGTCTTGATGTACACGTCGTCCAAGAAAGCCACTAGGAAGTCCCCTTGCTCTAGGGTCCTGGAGGCGCCCGCCAGCGCTCCGTGCAGGGCAAGAGCGAAGAGGGCTGGGGCCAGCGCGCCCCCCTGCTCCACTCCCTCTCCCTGGTGCACGTCGTGCACAGTCCCCATTTCGTCTTGCCAGAGGTAGGTGGAGTCTTGCCCGTACCACATCTTCACGAAGGGGATTAAGCCGGCCAGCTCTGGGCGAGCAAAGGAGCGTCCTTAAGCAGGCCGTGACCTCGAACACATTGTCCTAAATCCCCGACTCTCGATGCTGACAATCACTGCGTCGTCGTCGTGGTCCAGCACTGACCTCAGCAGCATGGCGGCGCAGTCGGTTCCTGCCCGCGTCGTCAGGGCGAACTGGATCAGCGCATGCGCGAGAGGCGAGCAGTGGCAGCGGGCTCTCTCACTGCCCAGCGAGATGTGGGTGGCGAAGGTGGAGCCAGATGCCATCAGCTATAGCTCTGGGATCAGCGCGTGCGCGAAAGACGAGCAGTGGCAGCGGGCTCTATCACTGCTCAGCGGAATGTGGGAAGTGAGATCGGAGCCGAATGTCATCAGCTACAGCTCTGGGATGAGCGCGTGCACGAAAGGCGAGCAGTGGCAGCGGGCTCTATCGCTGTTCTGCGAGACGTGGGAAGTGAGATCGGAGCCAGATGCCATCAGCTACAACCCTGGGACGGCAGGCGGGCAGGGCCGGCGGGCGCTGCGGCCGCGGGCCGCCGGGCTGGGGCAGCTCTGGCGGCCTTTGCGGGCGGCCTTGCCCGGGCACGGAGCGGAGCCGGCCGGGCCAGGGCCTCGAGCGCTCCCGCGGCCTCGAGGCCGAGGCACACAGGGCGGCTCGGCCGGGCGGGCGGCGGGCGGCGGCGGCTGGCGGCGCGAAGACCGCGCGGTGGCCGGCGGGCCCGCCGGGCCGCCAAAGGCGACCGCGGGCGTCGGCAGCCCAGCCAGGGGGCCAAGCGCGGAGGGAGCCAGGTTGCAGGCGACCCCTTTCGCTGCGGACTCGCCAGGGACTGGGAGGGATGGGGGGGGGCCGAGGCGCGTTGGCGGGTGGGGGGGGGTCGGACTGGGAACTGGTGAGGGGAAAAACAAAAAAAAAAAAAAAAAAAAAAAAAAAAAAAAAAAAAAAAAAAAAAAAAAAAAAAAAAAAAAAAAAAAAAAAAAAGCTTGGAGCAGGCGACGGCCCAGGCACGCGCCGAGCTGCGGCTTCGCGGAGCAGGTCCGGCGCCTGGGGCTTCACTCGTGAAGGCCCTCGGAACCCCTATCAAGCAGACTACAGTCGTGGAACTCGCGCGCGCCGTAAAACCCGCGCGCGCGGCCCTGTGCCGGCGGTTGCCCGACGCGAAAGAGCTCTGCTGCTCGGGGCTGGGAGCCCTAGGGTGGCCGCCTCCCTGCTCTACCCCAGCGACCCCGCGTGCGGCAGGGAGGACGGACAGTGATCGACAGCGCTGCGCTCGCGGGCGCTCGTGCGCAGGCCGGAGCGTGCGCAGCACGAGCTGACCACCGCCTCAGCCTCCTGCCAGGACCGAACCAGACGCGCTGTCGCGTGCGGTGAGCACTTGGACGACCCAGCCAGCCACGCCGCCGTCTCCGCCCTCGGGGACTCGAGTGGGGCGGCGTCGCCAAGCGCCACGGGAGGCTCGAGGACTCGGTGGCCAGACTGTCCAAGCGAGGGCGCCACCAGGAGCCCTTGCTGGAGCAACGTGTCCCTAGGTGGGACCGCCAGCGCCCCCGGCGACCTGCGGACCCCCCGATGCCGATCTGCTCCACTAGGGGCCCTAGTGGACATCGAGTACAACGAGGGCGCAGTGCGTCACTGGGTGGACGTCTCGATGCACCACCCAGCGGCGGAGCAAGTCGTGAGGGGGGCCACCCGCCGCCCAGAGGAGGCAGCCAGAACGGGGGAGATAGAGAAGCACGCCGGGATCGAGACGCCCGGGCACCTGGGGGGCGAAGCCCGGCAAGGGCTTGCCCGCCAAGTGAATGAGCACTGCCCTCCTGTCCAGCAGGCCGCGGAGCTCACCTTTTTTTTTTTTTTTTTTTTTGTTTTTTTTTTTTTTTTTTCCTCTCCCAGTCCCAGTCCCAGTCCCTGGCCGAGTCCGCAGCGAAAGGGGCCGCTGCACCTGGCTCCCTCCGGCTGGCCCCCTGGCTGGGCTGCCGACGCCCGCGGTCGCCTTAGGCGGCCCGGCGGGCCCGCCAGCCACCGCGCGGTCTTCGCGCCGCCAGCCGCCGCCGCCCGCCGCCCGCCCGGCCGAGCCGCCCTGCGTGCCTCGGCCTCGAAGCCGCGGGAGCGCTCGAGGCCACTCGAGGCCCTGGCCCGGCCGGCTCCGCGCCGTGCCCGGGCAAGGCCGCCCGCGAAGGCCGCCAGAGCTGCCCCAGCCCGGCGGCCCGCGGCCGCAGCGCCCGCCGGCCCTGCCCGCCTGCCGTAACCCACGACGTCGGGCCCCAGCTTCGCGTCCAGCATCGCGCTGAGCAGCACGAATGCCTGTTGCCACTGCCCCCATCTTCTCGTATACACCCGCGCTATCCTACAGCATTTGTAGCTGATGAATCCGAACTTGTCGCCTGGACTTCGCCTCCCTCATCTCGCTGGGCAGCGAGAGAGCCCGCTGCCACTGCTCGCCGTTTGTGCACGCGCTGATCCCAGAGCTGTAGCTGATGACACTTGGCTCCACCTTCGCCTCCCGCATCCCGCTGAGCAGTGGGAGAGCCTGCTGCCACTGCTCGCCGTTCGCACACGCTCTGATCCCAGGGCTGATCCCAGGAAGTTGTAGCTGATGGCATCTGGCTCCGACCTCACTTCCCACATCTCGCAGAACAGCGATAGAGCCCGCTGCCACTGCTCGCCTTTCGTGCACGCGCTGATCCCAGAGCTGTAGCTGATGACATTCGGCTCCGATCTCACTTCCCACATCCCGCTGAGCAGTGATAGGGCCCGCTGCCACTGCTCGTCTTTCGCGCACGCGCTGATCCCAGAGCTATAGCTGATGGCATCTGGCTCTACCTTCGCCTCCCACATCTCGCTGAGCAGCGATAGAGCCCGCTGCCACTGCTCGCCGTTCGTCCACGCGTTGATCCCAGAGCTGTAGCTGATGACACTTGGCTCCACCTTCGCCTCCCGCATCCCGCTGAGCAGTGGGAGAGCCTGCTGCCACTGCATCGCCGTAGACACGCTAATGATCCCAGGGCTCAACACAAGTGATCCCAGAGAGAGTTTTTTTTGTAGTGATGGCCATCCTAGGCTACGATCTCACTTCCCACATTCTCGACAGAAGAGCAGCGACGGAGAGCCCCGCTGCCACTGCTCGCTTCCTATTAGTAGTACAACACCCGCGATTCGCCCAGCGCTGTACCGATCAGACATTGTGATCTCGATCTCACTTCCCACATCCCGCTGAGCAGTGATAGAGCCCTCTGCCACTGCTCGTCGTTCGCGCACGCGCTGATCCCAGAGCTATAGCTGATGGCATCTGGCTCCACCTTCGCCACCCACATCTCGCTGGGCAGTGAGAGAGCCCGCTGCCACTGCTCGCCTCTCGCGCATGCGCTGATCTCAGAACTGTAGCTGATGACGCTTGGCTCCACCTTCGGCTCCCACATCTCGCTGAGCAGTGGGAGAGCCTGCTGCCACTGCTCGCTGTTCGCGCACGCGCTGATCCCAGAGTTGTAGCTGATGGCATCTGGCTCCAACCTCACTTCCCCAATCTCGCAGGGCAGCGATAGAGCCCGCTGCCACTGCTCGCCTTTCGTGCATGCGCTGATCCCAGAGCTGTAGCTGATGACGCTTGGCTCCACCTTCGCCTCCCGCATCTCGCTGAGCAGCGGAAGAGCCTGCTGCCACTGCTCGCCGTTCGCACACGCTCTGATCCCAGGGCTGATCCCAGAGTTGTAGCTGCGCCGAGCTGCGTCGAACGCAGCTGGCGCTACAGCGCCGCTGGGCCGCTGGCTTGCGCTGAATGCGCCAGCTTTGCCTCTCCTCTTCTCCTCCCCTCCTTTCGCCCTCCACCGTCTCCTCTCCCCAACCCGTCCAGGAACGTGCTGTCTTTCTGTGCACGCTTGCCAATGCATATTTCGAGCCTGTCGTGGACGTTTTTCGCCACCAGCCCAATGGCGATATGTTGCACTGTCCACGCTTTTTATTTTGACTGGCGTTCTCCTGTTGATCGTGGCGCTCTCGCGCTTCCCGTGCCTTTTTTGTTTCGTGGCGTTGTGCTTCTGGGTTGTTCAGGGCCTGACCTCTCTTTGTCGGGGGGGGGGCGGCAAGGCTGATATAAGAATGCTTCGTGATC